GTCGAGGGGATCGGAGGTGAAGCCAGCAGCCGGACGTTGGTTTGGAGTCTGCCGGCATTCCCGACTCGTTCCAGCTAAACATCTCATTGTCAGCATCTGCTGCACGACACAAACCCTGCGAGGGCTGAGCAACAGTTTGTGGTTTATTTCAGCAGCACAGCTCAGCGTGACACCAACTCGCCTTCAAGGACTATTTGAAGCTCTTTGAAATCCCAAGCGTTTGATGTCCATCTTTTTTCAAACAAAAAGGAAAGAAAAGTGTTTTTCTCTGCGTCCCTGTTCTGAATTTAAACTCTGCTTGATGTGCAGCCGGCAAAGAAAACTCCAATCAAGCTGTTAAAGCTGTTTGTTTCATTGTGCTTTGTTGTTCTTTCTCCCTCTCTCTCAGATCCTCCACCCCTCCACGGTATCTGCACGTCACAGCGTTCGCTCGTGTCTTCTGTTCACTCGCTCTTTCTGTCTCTGTCTTCAGGATTTCCCCCTACTGCGACTTGACGATGTGGTGGACGATCAGTCAAACATCGTGGGCTTCTCCATGCTGAACATCAGCCATCCTTTCTACCTGGAGTTCCTCAGGAGCCTCAACCTGTCCTGGAGGGAGGGCTGCGACGTCAGCCCGTACCCGGGACCCGCGGTGAGACGGGACAGAGTACGACCCCGAGAGCTTCTCACCTCATCTACTGCCACACTATCAGAACCGTTAGAAGATATCCTCAGTGCTTAAAAGACTTCTTGTCTTTGTTCAGCTTAAAGGTTCAAATGCAAATGTAGCTTTTAGAGAAGAAGCAAAAGCAGAAAGTCAGAAATGAATCAATGAAAGGTGTGAGTAGGCTTAGTTTGCACAAAGAGAGGCCGACGAGCTGCTCACGGGAAACAGTGCCCATTATTCACACACAGTGAGACCGGTGTCCTTCTGACACAGTTACTGAGCAGCGTGTCTCCGCCGTACAGGATGACCTTCAGCCTCCTGCACAAATGTGGGTCACTGTGTCACAAGCTGCTCTTTGGTTTTCCTGATGAGCGCTCAGTTCATTAGCAATATGTGATGTTAGCAAACGAAGTCAGCCAATTAGTGATCTATTTATCACCGTGAAGCGCGCCTCAACATCACAGAGGCGTTGGAAGCGTTGGCTGTAAGGTGAGCTGGAAGCACAGTGCTTCGGTCAGCCGTGCCGTAATATTGCAGGATAGTAATACATGTGCTGGAGAGGAGGAGCCTGAGCTGGTCCATGAGGTGGAGACATGCCCAGTGTAGTTATAGTTCACTGTTCCAGTCTGGAGACCTGGAGGAGCCCGTCTTCCTCTACAGGAGCTGTAGGCTGACTCACTACATGGTGTTCAGGTGGATCAGGTGGACCCCCACATTTGTGCAGACGACAGTAGATCTCTGTGCTAACTACCAACCCGACACAGGAAAGAAAGAAGTCAGTAAAGAGTAAGATTATTGAAAAAACGCTTCCGTCTAATGACTTCTGCACAGTTGCTTGGATACCAAGCTTCTCTTGCACAAATCCTGATGTTTGTGAAATGTTACCTTTGTTGTGCCACAGCCACACAATATTTCAATGTCACTGCTCGACACAACGAAGCAGCTAAATTATGATCCTGGGATAATGATTTATACCTCAGGATGATTAGAGGTGTTAATCAGCAGATCAAGGTGTGATATTTAGAGATGCTACGGTAAGTAAGTCATCTACAGCAGGTTCAGCCCGGAGAGCGTCTTCATCTGTCACCGTGTCTGCGTCTTTGCCCTGATCCATAATAAATAGACACATCAGGGCAAATCTGTCCCATCAGAGCGCTTTGTCTCATCTGCAGCTCTGATATCAGCAG